ACAATGTCGAGGTGAAGACGGGATTGGAAGAGGCACATTGGGGTCAGTTCAATTTCGGGTGTCGATTTACTAGGTAATTGAGAGAACACTTGTGTAATTCCTTTATATCTTCTTAGTGGATTGTTTTGTGATTTTTGCCCGTGGTTTTTTTATCACAATTGGAGGTGCTCCAATTGTGATTGTTTTACGTAAAATCGTTGTGTCGATTTGTCTTGATTGTTTGATTGAGATTGTTGTTTACTGTTTAAAATTGATATATAATCACAAATCAACATCTAGGGAATTTCAAGATTTTTCATGTAGAATCATTATAATTTTTCGAAGTGTTAATATAAATTATTATAATTATGTTACGAAGGGATGCAATACAATAAAAGTTTTATTTACAAATTATTATAGTCGTATAACGAACTATTATGATTATGTTATGAATATTGGATTATTCCATACAATTATTGTGAAAAAACTTATTTAATTATTATGATTTTGTTACCAATTATTGTAGTTGTAGTTTTGAAAAGGCATATGGCATGCATTTTTAAGAGTGTATACCATAGTTTTGCTCGTTTTATTTCCATTAAAAAAAAAGGAAAAAACCCAAGTATTTTCATTTTTCATTTATTAGTATGTGATAATTTCAAAAAAATTTGTACACAATGTGATTTGTAATTCAGTACCATTCATGTACTAGATGAATATTACTTCTCATTTGCATTTTTCTAGAAGTAAATCATTGAAATTTAAGTTCATGGAATACATTTTTGTAATTATTTTTTACCTTAGTTTTAATAGTGATTTGTTGATTTTACTCATTTAAATTAGACTTAATCCGCCCGCTTAGACTTATTTAAAACTTTACTTTTGCCGTCCCCCCTTCCCCAATATTGTAATCCTGGATCTACCCATTACCAAACTTGAGTTTGATCAAAATTATTAAGGAGTAAATGAAAAATTGATTCCAAAGATCACCCATTAAAACTTTAGATGTTAAGTTTTATCCAACAATGATAGACTAGATGTTTGTTTGAAACTTTTTTTTGATCGGCGAAAGTTAGTATTAATAGTTAGATCAGCACCTATACGAATTAATCGTCACACCCTTGCAAGCACCAAGTGATTGCCTCCTAATTCAACTCTTATAGACAAAGTTAAACTCAAGAACCTCCTCCTTGAGACTAAGCTCTTAGGAGAGTCGTAACAATCAACTAAGTTAGGCCTAATTGATTTTTGTTTAAAACTGTTAGACTAGTTTTGTCTCACAATTGGATACTAGTATTGTTTTTCATCCCTTATTCTTGACGCACCTGTATAGTCCAATTTTAGGCTTATTTGCTCGAGTCGGTTTTATCCTCGAATTGCTAAAAAAGGAGATTGTTAAAGTCTAGAGTCTATATTAGGTAGACAATTCGTTAATGCTGTGTTTGGTTGAGGGATTTGATGAAGGATTTGGAAAGGGAAATGGAAAAGGTAGGTGAAATGTGAAAAAAATATACATATATTTCACATAGTTTCACACACCTTTTCCCTTTCCCTTTCCAAATCCCTTCCTAAATCCCCCAACCAAACACAGCATAAACAAATCTAGTTAAATTGTAATTGTTTTAATTTCAATTTTATTCATGGAAAAAGCTTGGGAGCTCCAATTTGGGGACCCCGTAACCTCTAAATGAGTGTGATTGGTCCATTTGTCTGTTTATTTTTTATTTTATTTTTTTTTCTCTCCCTCACATAGAATGATGTGGAAGTTGTGGGGGTCTCAATCATTCCTCTTTATTTATTTTGGAAAAGTGCATGTTGTATCAGTATTGGCGTTAGAGTTGGAGGTAGAATGTTCATTTCTTGGGTACAACAAATCAAAGATTCCCACACTAACTAGATTGTGCCACATATGTTGAGGAACCATTTAAGCAATAAACATTCTAGAAAATCTTTGGATTTTCATAGCTCATGCAGACTTTTCATATCTCAAGTAAAGAGTGACAATTTTACAAATTTTGAGGGAGTTTGAACTCGGGTTACGTTGGGAATTGGTTTCAAGCCATCCTTATGTTTGGTTGATGGCTTTTGGAATGGATTTGGAAAGGGAAAGAAAAAATGTGTGAAATTAGATGAAATATATAAATAAAGTATATCTACATTTTACTTAGTTTTATACACATTTTTTTATTTTTTATTTTTTTCAAAATCCATTTCTAAATCCCCAAATCAAACACAACGTAAAGCACATAAATATGAGGTTAGAGAGGAAGAAAATGAGTTTGCAGTCGTATATATTGTGGAGCTGAAGATTGATGAAGTCTCCAAGGATTCAAACCATTGTTTCATTTGTTGTGAAAGCTTCCATGGATTCCAAAGGTACTCTTATATATAAAGTTTCAAGGAGTTGATAATTGGTTGATCAAGCATGGAGAATTGACAGTTCAAAATAAATAAATAAAGCACGGAGAACTGAGAATACTGACCTCTGTTTGTGGATTCAATGGTGTTTATTCATTATGGGGCTTGTTTTGCGTCAAACCTAGATCGCTCTTCAGGCTTTTTCCCAGTTGGATTTTTTACATAAAAAAATTGCAAATGTTAATTGGGAATTGAAGTAAACAAAATTATATATATAAAGGCTGATCAATCAGATTTGTCATCTATGTTCTTTAGAATGCAAGTGGAAGATCTGCATTAGAATCCATTTTCAAAGGAACAACTTGACTGACTCAAATAGAACTAAACCGCTTTTATGAAGAAATTAGGTAGTCTTCAACAAAATGGTGTTTGAATGGAGAGAGAAATTGCAGTTCTGGTACTAGTCTAGACGGCATGCCCGGTGTAAACTTTTTAATGTAATTGGGGAACACCCTGGAGATATTTGTTTTGGAAAATGATTGAAAAATGATATATAAGTCTATTTTATATTTTTAAAAAAATTTACTTTTTAGACTTATTTTATAAATTTAATGATGTGCAAGTGATATGATTGGGTAATAATTAGAGAAGATATGAGAGAAAATGTTACCTTTAATATCCTAATTGATTGCCAAGAGACTTAAAAATTGGGTCTAATTTTTTTGTCTTGAATAGTAATTTTATTTTTTTTATTTTTTTCTCCTCGAGGGGAGAAATTGGACTCCATGTCTAATCTAGCAGGAAGTCAATTGTTTGATTGAGGATTTGTAGGTTGGATTAGGAGTCCCACTAAAGTATGAATCTCATATATGTTATATTGTGTCCTAGGGGGATGTAGGATAGAAATTGTGCGATTGGAATATCATGTGCTAGCTTTGTTTGCGTTAGCTTTTTGTTTTCTTGGTTGGCTCCTCGCCAATCTTGCTGTGCTTGCATATGATTGGTTGTTCAAGCCAGTGCCAACGTTGTTGGGATGGGCTTGTAATGCTATGGTGCTTGTTGCACTTTTCTTTCCTTGCTATTTGGTGTAACCATATTGGCCTTCTTTCTTTCATTAATAAAAGTTCATTTTGCTGATAAAAAAAAAAAAAAAAGAGTTGTAAAATAACACATTTGCCCTCCAAATATTTGATTTCATTATGTATTGTATTTAATAAAATAAAATATAAAAATCTCAATTAAAAAATAAAAATAAAATAAATTTATTTAATTTTTATTGATGTTTATTTATTTAATTTTTAAATAAATTTTTATAGATGTTTTATTTTAAATTTTTGTTGGTATTTTATTATTTAATATTTCTTATTTTATTAAAATAAATTTATTAAAAATTTTAAAAAAAATAACATAAATTTTTATTTATTATTTATTATTTAATTTTAAAAAATAAAATTATTTAATTTTTTTTAAATAAAATAAAATAAATTTTTATTTAATCTAGCCCAAAAAATTAAAATATTAAAGACAGATTTAGTATTGTTATTACTTAGTAAACAATTGAAAATGATAAAATAGTCTATTGAGTATTTATCTTTTTCATAATATTTCAATTAAACATTAGATTCAATAGGATAGTCATTTATTATATTTAATTCCATAAGAAAACAAACATGAAATACACGTAATTTCCAACCAAATGGCCCAAGAACTATATATCCCACAATTAATAATCCGATAAATTGCAATCCCTCTTATTCAATCCGTTTAAACAAATATGGCATCGTGGATGATTTCATTAGATGTTTTGTAAGGGTTTAGGAATTAGTATGTGTATGCACCACTATTTTTTGGGGGTTCACGGAGTTTTTAGGTCTTTCAAAAAGAAAATGACTGAGGCCCCCAGCGGGAGTGACCCCCAACACCCCCACTATTTTTTTCATTGGCTGAATTTATTTTTTTATTTTTTTATTTTTTGTCTTGCCATCACATAGCCCCACGTGGAGCTGGGGATGCTGGGGTCACCCCTCCCTGGGGTTCCCCAACACCGTTGCTTTCAAAATTATGTTTGTGGGTGTTTACCTATTACACTTTATTATCTTTTTAATAAGAGTAAATTATGTAAATGACCTCTATAGTTTATACGATGTGTCAATTTGGTTTCCGTTTTAATTTGCTCGATTTTGCCCCTTAATTTAGTAAATTACGTTATTTTAGTCCAATAAATAATGGTTGTTAAATTTAATGGACAAAAAGTCTACACAATGTGTTAATTTGATCATTGTAGTTTACATAATGTGTCAATTTCGTCCTTATTGTTTTAATTTGCTCAAATTTGACAGGGGCCAAATTGACGTTAAAAGCAATAATTCTGTTCTAATAATTTGACTGATCTAAATCGCTATATGCTATCTGTTTTTCTACAGTTTTATGTCACCCTCTTGCATAACAAAGTATTATGTACACAAAATCATTAAACAGTAGATATATTTAGTTACATAGCATTTTTTCTTATTTAAATTTAACACATTTGATTAAGGAAACAACAACAGGGACTTAAATGCTGCCTTTGCCTTGCTGTAAGAAAGAATGGAAAATATAGTTTGTGCCATGGTGAGCAGAAGTAGTATAACCGCAGCAAGAAATGAAACAAATGCCTATGGACTGTTGAAGTAATTCCGCCTTAAGTTTGTCATCCACACATTTGCGTCGCATACAATGGTTATTCACATTATTGAAAACTTCATTATAACTAAAGTTATTGGCATTTCTCATGGTGACCTTGATCGGTTTGTGCCACATGGTGTAAACCTCTACACCATCACCTACCCAACTTTCAATAATTCCACTATGGTGGAGCAAATTAACATCCTTGAAGAATTGATGAGGCAATCCATGAACACGATATAGTCACAAACACACAATGGTTGATTATGATCTAAAGGACACAACTCGTATGCAACTAGATTTCTAAGGAAAGACTCTGTATTATCCGTAATGGATAAGAGTGGGACTTTTCAATGCCCCACTTATGAACTTTATATCAAACAAGTTGTCGCTTTTCAACCATCTTGAATTGAACCCCAAACTCTTGAAGCTTTGTTGCCAAGTTCATGAATTTCCATTGCTTTACCATTACATTTGTACAAGTCCCAACAAATGTAAAGCACCAATAATCATGTACCAAGCCAAGCAGATGCTTGATGTTGTCAATTGGGATTCCACACTGAGCTTCGAAATTTGTATGTAGCTGGGTATGTCATAGAAAATTCATGCCAATATGAATGATTCCCAAGCTTGGAAGCCTAGTCATGTTGAACAAACAAACAAGGATAAAGAATGGAATTTGATTTTCTAGTAAAACCAAATCATGTCGTAAATCATGAACAATTTGTTTTGATTGGAAAATATGGTCGTCACTATCTCTCAGTTCCTTGTTCATTGACTTGCGAAATAACTCAATGATAAAGAAACCGTCAAGAAGCATTATTTCCACAAACTCATCGAGTCAAGTCTAATGGTTTCTGCATAACAATTGCATGCTCTTTTTTCTAATTCTCTTATGGCCATAACATACCTATCCACGCTCTTCTCTTTCTGTCGATTTAGAAGCCTTTGCAGGTATCATAATTTGTGCAGCGCCATTTCTTGTAAGTTAGCCTTACTGGGATGGTAAGGGCCAATGGCAACTATTGCTGGTTCATATGCTTTCTCATTTTCCATGCATTAGTGGTCATTGATTCTGAAGATTCAATGATCAGAGGATGTATTCGATAAATTAGCATGCTTTTTGTCAATACGAATGGAAACATGATCTTCGATTTCTTCCAATTCGCTTAGCGCCATGGTTTAATTACCTATAATGAACAAATTAATTTAAGTTATAACAGTTAGATATTTACATGAAATTTTTTCTTCTCTTTGAATTTTTTTCTGATATAAACTCCCAATTCCTCCACTACAATTTTCATTGCAGAAGCCATGGGAGAAAAGAAGCTAATTTCTATTTTCAGTAACTTCAATCACAAATTCATGCTCTTACCATGTTCACTGCAACTTCGAACACTGCGGATCATGTAATTAATGGAGAAAACTATTTGAAATTATAAAATAAACTTGATAGAAATTCCACTACTTATTCCCTCTGCATATATTCTCTTCAAGTGGAAATGAGAAATTGCTTTCTATGATTGAAATAACTAGAAAATGAGAAGACTCTTTTCACTTTAATAGGAACTACGGTGGGTGCACAAATGATGTGTGTATAAATATTTTAGAAATTGAAAGGAGAGATCTGCACCATGAAAAGCCAAAGTGAAAACCCAAGTCTTCAATCTGATATTGAATAAGAAAAGAGAAGCAAGTGACCTAATTATTTTGAATAAGAATCATCATGTGTCTAGCCACCAGGCACACTATTCCCACATTGAACAAGGAAGGATAAAATCTATTTTATCATCTTATAGTTACACCCTGTAACACTTTACTTCTCTAGCATTTAAAAATAACCAAAGAAACCTCACGTTGTTTTAGTTATTTTGTAATTTTTCTCCCTACCGTCACTAATTCCATCAAAATTGACAGATTTTGAAGTTCACGCATCAATTATGAGAGTGAGTATGGCTAAAAATAAAAAATAAAGTCAAATCACAAGGCAAAATGACAAACTCACTCTCTTCCCTTCTATACAGCCGCTCCCTTCACGATTTTCTCCCCTCCCACGGCACCAGCAAACATCTTCTTTCCCACCCATGCATCCCAACTAGATCTGTTTGCCGAAACACGATGCAAACAAATGGATAAATTACAAATTCATCCCTTGAGGTTTGATTAAAATACAAATCGCTCCCGATAATTCTGAAAATTACATTATACTCCCTGAGGTTTCTAATTTCATAACAGATTGCCTTTTTTATTAATAAATCATCAAATCAATTAACAATTTTTAATGATGTAGAAATATGTTTCTATTAATAATTTAGGTAATTTTATTATTGTATAGGATAATTTGTATTTTAAGTAAATCTCAAGGGGCATATTTATAATTTATCCCAAACAAATTGATGCAATATTTGATGTTACTAACTAGAATCCAATTTTTTTTTTTTTATAACAGTGTATATATATGAACATTGAATTTATATATATATATAAGAATAATTAGAAATGCTATTAGATTAAAAATTAAGATAAAAAAGGTTTGAAACTAATTTATAAAATTAGGATTATTAAAGTTAATAGATAATTTAATTGGTTAATACGTAATTAAGTTATTAAATTAAACGTTATGATAAAAGGTTAAAAATTAATTTATAAAATTAAGAGTACTTTAGGTTAATATGTGATTAAATTAGAATTAATGTGAATAATAGAAGAGGGTAGAAAGAAAATGAAAAAAGAGAAAGAGAGAGAGAAATAGAACATGGGTATCGACGTCATTTTTCACATATCAGTAACGATGCTAATGTTGTATTTTAGTCTAAAATCATATTAAACCTATTTAACTATTTTTATTAGACAAGGAGGTGAGGTGCTTTAGAGCAAACTACAATGCGGTAAGATTTTTCTCAACAAAAAATGAGTGACTGACCCAATTGTACTTTACATAATGGCCTTGTGTGTAGCCATTAGAGTCCAAATCATCTACAGTGGCTTCCTGCAATGCTTCCTGTTGTGGTATCAAATGACGTCGTTTTGATTTTTTTTTTTTTGTTTTTTGCCCCCTTGGTTTCTTCTCCCTAACTCACCGACGGAGCAAGAACAAAGAAATGAAACGAAGAGGCGAGGCAAGGGTGAAGCGACGGTTCGTCGAACATTTTCAGAATGCACAGAGGGGTTTTCGAGTTCATGTGTTTTTGAAGATACAAAGATGAAATACTTGATAAATATGAAGATTTTTTGGTGAAGATTTTTTTCTATGTGATGAGTGTGTGTGTGTGTGTTGGGTTAAGCTTGCCTGAACAGGGATAGAAGGATCCAAAATTAGGGTAAATAGGTCTGAACTTGAAAAAAAAAAAAAAAAAAGATCAATTTTGGCTTCACCTAGTAAAAAACACAAATTAGATCTGCCGAACAAATAATTCGAAAATGAATAAAAATTTTCCTCTTCTTCCCTCAAATCTATTTGCTTTCTGAGAAAATGTAAAATTCCTTTCCAACTCAATTCAACCTTGGGAAAATGGGTCTGAACTTGAAAAAAAAAAAAATCTTAACCAAATCATTTTTTATTTTTCTGGTGAAGTAATTCCCTTTTGCAATAGCCCGAAAACATATTAATAGTATTGCTTTTAATTCAATGTTGTTTATTGAAGAGGAAAACATGATTTGCTTGCTGGGTTTCTCTCTCTCTCTCTCTCTCACTCACAGTTCGTCTCTCTGTTAGGTTAGGTGAGGAACAAAACAAAGCATCTGACAAAGAAGTGCCAAAGAGTGGGAAACCCAAAAAAAAAAAAAAAAAAGAGAAAAAAAAAAAAAAAAGTAAACAAAACGACATCGTTTTGTCGTACTACAACAATCATGGCAAGAAACCATAACAGAAGATCTGAACTCATAGCAACTATGGCCGCTCCAAGGAGTAATAAGAAAATAATCTTCTTTATATTCATTGAATTTATTATTTTATTTATCATAATTACATTGGTTGAATAAGTTCTACTAAAAGTGATAATACATCATATAATAAATTAAATATGATATATGAATATAGTTAATCTAACACTCTCAATAACAAGGAAAATTTTATTATGCGCATCCCTTGAAAAAGTGTATCATATGTACTCTTAATTATATTATTTTCTTTTTTAATTATAATCAACTTTTTTGTTTCAGTTATAATAATATTTTAGTTATGACTCATGAGATCTTTAGTTATGCCTTATGTGAAATTTAATGTTAGAAAAATGATTTAGAAATCATTAATAGGTGAATGAGAAATTGATTTCAAAGTGCATCATTTAACAATGGTTTTAAGACAAAATTTATTTAATATAAAATTTGATTTTTATTTCAATAAATTTGTTATTTTCTAGGTCAAAATTGAATCGAATTCGATACAGAAATTGAACCCGTTTGTGAGAACAATTGTGTCTATTCAATTGCACCTATTCAATGAGAGAGTTGTGTCTATATAAGCAAGTCCCATTGCATTCATTAATAATTGAATTCATCTTGAAATTCTCTTCTTTTACAGTCTGTCCTTCTTCTATAAAGAAGAGTTTCTACACAGTAAGATTCGTCAGACTTATGGATTGCAGTGCTATTCTTGCAAGGTTCGATCGTTGTAACGCGAAAGATAAACGTCCAATTTAAACTCAAGAGCACTATAGCGAGGGACGAATTTGTCACAAGTCTCGATTAAACAATTTTTGGTTCCAAATTTTTACATGTTAGTAAGTTTTCTATTTCTCTGTAAGTATTTCCAATTTTTTCTATACGGTTTGGTTTGGTTTTACCCAAACAAGTTACATTATCTTCAACTTATATATATATTGATAATATATTTGATATAATTATTACATGTTTAGATAGTACATGAGAATTAACCTCAACATTTAATTATAATTTTTTTTTAAGTATAACTTAAAAAATATAGAATCATGCTATTTTGAATATTCAAAATAGATAAATCATGCTATTTAAATAAGTTAAAATATTCAAAATTCAATGTTAGTAATCCTTTGAAATGGCTAATGATTGATGAACCGGATCAATATTTTTGCGATAAATTATACTTGGTACTCTTACATATTTATTAAAATTTTATTTTGATCTATTTATTTTTAATTATAACAATTAATTCTTTATATTCGAAATTAATTTTTAATTTCATCTTTTCATCCATATACCGTTAATACCATCTCTAATCTTTCATTAGATTTTTCATCAAATTTAAATTTGATTAAAAACTAATAAAAAGGTGCTCTAATCATTTCATCAGTTTAGTATCAAATGAACGAAACGATACTTTTTTTATCAAATGAATTGAGCATTTATTCTTTCATCAAATTTGTAGGTGGCTGTTGGTTCAGACATCCGTTCAAAGTGCTCTCAGACATCCTCCCGGACAACTGATTTTAAGAATGAATTTGAATTTACTTCAGACGGACGACCAACCAGTTGACTGGCCAGATTTGATGAAAATGTTAGAATGTATCATGTTAGATCAATTTTTTATTTAAATTTTTATTCAAATTTGATGAAATATCTGATAAGCAATTGGAGATGCTCTAACAAAACTAACGGAAATTGAAAGTGAAAGAACTAAAGTAAGATTTTGGTGAAAGTAAGAAGATTAAAATGAGATTTTAATAAAAGTTTAAGGGCATTAATGAGACGACAAAAATGTCAAGTATGCTTCAAATGACAAATTTTGTCAACTTAATTAATTAAATAGATGAAATGGTGATATTACAACTTTACTTAAAGTATATGAGATTGACTATTACAATTGAAAGTAAAAGGATTAAAATGAAATTTTAATAAAAATATAGAGTTATTAACGTTGTGTTTGGTTAGAGGATTTGGGAAATGATTTGAAAAATAAAATAGAAAATAGAAAATGAAGGTGAAATATGAATAAAATATACCTACATTTCACCTAATTTCACACACCTTTTTCCTATTCTTTTATAAATTCCTTCTCAAATTTCCTAACAAAACACAACATTATAGGTAATTTACTCATATTTTTAAAAATCGGTGCATGAATTTGCCCCAGTTTTGAATTTTTTACCATTAAACAATTCAATAGTCTTGATCAAATGTTTGTATCCAAGGGCTAATAAGGTTTGCATATGTTGTGCAACTGTAAGGGATTGCACACTTAAACAGCACCCAACAAGCAAAAAAAGAAGACTCATGAAGCATTGATGTGTACTTGTGGCACCATCATCAAAACCAAATAGAGGGTAAGATGGTTCAAGTGAAAAATAATAAAAAAAATCAGAGCGTTCATTGCCCAACACCTATTTAGCATAGTAAAATCTCATATATTGTGTGTGTGTATATATATATATTTACGTATATATGTAAAGCCCTGTAGAGGAATGGTGCAGTAATTTTTGGTCTACAAATTTGGACTTATACCTTGTGGAACCAACCAGGTTTTGATATACGTAAAGCTTTACAGCACCATTCCTCAACACACAAACTCACACACATACTATTGTACACATTTTTCACATAGTTGAAACAATTATACATAAACATACAAATAGAATCATACTGATGAGGGCTTGTGACGAGGGATATCAACTAGATAGCAATTAAAAACAACTAAAGTGATTGAAAGAAAAATGATGAGCAGATCACAAAATGTAGATAAGCAGAACAAGACATAAAGATTGAACAAGCAGATCATATAGAAATTCATCGAGCGCACACATACACCTTACGGTATATGTAGGAATATATATATGAATTTTTTTAAATTGGGGCACTCAAACCTGGTATCATCATCTCTAGATTTTAAGAAATACAGAGAGGGAGATCTGAGCTAGGGCTTTGACGGCAAAGTATGTGATCTGTCTCATTTAATATCTAAAATTACACATATAGACCAAATTGAAGCTTTTTTATGTATTCGGGACTAAATTGACACAGTTTAAACATAGGGGATCAAAATACACAAATCTCATATTTAAAGATTACAAATGTAATTGACCTTGTACATATATATTATATATACATCATGTATACAGAGCAAACAAAAAAGGAAACAAATCCAAAGAACAAAGCAGCAAACCCACTAAACAAATGTCATACAAGGCGAAGATCTGAGATGAGATCAAAATTCAATTTGATGGAGGAGGTTAGATAAACCCAATCTTGGGGTAGAGCTAAATTATGTCCTAGAAGAGTTCTCTATTCCTCCAGAAAATTTAATCTTCCTTAATTTGATTGCTCTGTTTGAAATTTTTTGTTTTTTACATCCATATGTAAGCGTACTGATGGGCACAAAATAAAATTCAAACTCTGGCAATAATCAACGCATTCACATTCTAATGTATCAAGTTAAAAGTTCCAACATAGAGAGAGAAAGAGGGAGCGAGATGAGAAAGAGAGTGACCAAGAAACTGAGGATATATATATATAGAGAGAGAGAGAGAGAGACAGAGAGAGAGAGAAAGAGAGTGGAAGAGGGTTTACCAGAATGTAATGGTGGTGGATGTAGTGGTGGTGGTGGTGGTGGTTTTGAAACCCTAGCCCTGAAACCAACCCTCGATTTTCCTCCAGCCATCAATTTTCCTCTGGCATCACTTTCGAATCGACTACACCAACCTTCGGCAGGACCACTACACATTCTCAGTCGATTGAGGGTCCATCTACTCCTCGACTTGGCTCACACGAGAGAGACGCAATAGGGATGAGAGCAGAGAGAAATATTGACCGCTAGAAGGGGAGGTGAATAGAGAACGGAGGAGATCAGTCCACAATCGGACTGAAGAACTGTTTCGGCCCAGTTTTGTTTTTATAATTTGAATAGTTGATATTTTAAGATTCGTCAAATACTTTCATAAAAGTTTAAGGAAAATTTATTAGAATTTTTGTTTCTTAATTAATTCATAATATATTTTTATATTTTAATAAGTTCTATTATTTGAATATTTGATCTATCAAATCTTAATTCTCATATTTAAGATATTTTGTAAATATTTTTACTCTTACAAATATTTTTTGAAAGGTTAGCAATTTAGTGATGTGAATATTCATATTTTACAATGTGAATATTCACATTGACGTGTGAACATATATATTGACAATATGAATATTCACATTAATATGTTAATATTCAGATTGATGGTATAAACATTCACATTATGGAACATTCACACTGTAAATATAAATATTATTAAGGGTATTTTGATAACTATGTCACCCATAAAACTTATTGAAACATAAAAAAAAAAATAATGTGAACTAAATAGAATATAAATAGCTGAAAAGGAATTTATGAAAAAGTGTCCCAAAATTTAAATCCATCGAATAACAATAATTATATGTTTAACTTAATTTTTTATAGAAATAAAATACTTAACAAATTTTAAAATATGAACAATTTAAATTATTAAAACAAAATCCAAAAATGAGTCAATTGGGTCAAATAACATTTTTCAGTCTGAATTATGGATTGGAGAAAAGCTCGAGAAAGGAGAGTATGGATTATTCCGGTTGCCCTTTTTCAACCATTAAAAAAAATAATAAAACAATTCAGTAATCAAGATCAAATATTTGTAATCTAACAACTTAAAACTACCATGCATGTATGTAATCCTTAATGGGTTGCACATGGAAACACCACCCTTTATTTTAGGGGTCATTTGGTAATAACTTTTTTAGTTAGTTTTTTGATTTTTTTTTTTTTTTTGACTATTTTAACCTGAGACTTTTTTGGTTATTTTGTTTCCTGTTTGGATTTTTTGGTTTTTTGACATTGGAATGGCAATTTTTTTTTTTTTTGTCTTTTTGTGATTTTTTAACTTTTTTTTGTCCTTTCGTGATTTTTTAGCCCAATGAGGAAAACCAAATGAGCACTTAATATGTGTATAGGTAAACATGGATGAGTTCAGATCCCCTCCTTGAGAGTCCTACTTTACTTCCTACATTCAATGGTTGAGATCAACCGTTGCACATCCAACGATTAAATATATATATATATATATATAAAATTAAAATTTCAAAAAATTCCTGCCCGATGCTATACATACAGAGGTTATACATTTGCTCTCACTCTCACTTTCACTCAGCCTCACAGACACCCGTTCTCGTCCACCGAACCCACCCTCACCGATGACCAATCCTGACGGCGACCCAGACAGTGAACCCATTCCTAACCCTAACCTGCCGCTCCAGCCCTAATATTTTCTGCTTCGTGAACCATAGCTTCACCGCAACCACCATCGACTAAGCGAAGAAATTTCTTGACGAAAATGTGGGCTCCTAAGCCATAGATGAACCAGGTTTGTCTTCAAAACACTGAAATTAAGAAGTTAGGATTGTGTGATTGGGATTAAGAAAATAGATTTGAAATTTCAAAATTAGGGCTTTGATTTGGGATTCCAACGGCTAAAAATTTAGGGCTTTGATTTGGACTTTCTCTTTTTCTTCTTCTTCTTCTTCTTCTTTCCATCTCTCTATTACATTGTTTAATACTTCTTTAGGTTTGTTTTGTTTATTCTTTGTTGTGGGTGTGTTTTTGATGAATCAGTATCCATAAACCTATTTAATTAGTGAGATAAATTGATTGAAGCTCCCTAATTTTCTATCTTAAATTGATTGATGCTCGCTATTTAATTACTTCTGTGAGTTTCTGTCTTAAATTCCAAAGACAACAAATTCATGAAAATATGATATGAAATATGAACAATCTGAATACTAATTCTTTAAATCAGTAGCCAATGTTTGATAAATCAGTAGCCAATTCATGAAATATGCTCCCTGTTTTTGATGAATCAATAGCCAATTTTTAAATTTTTTTTAATCTCATTACTTAATTGCCTCAAATCTGAACAATCTAAATACCAAGTCAACAGTTATGATGTTTAGTACTCAAGTGACAATGTGGACCAATAGATGTGAGGTTGGATCATCACATCATCAAAAAAATAATAATAATAATAATAATAATAATAACCAACATTGTTTTATGAGTAGTGCTATAGAATTGAGGTTGTGACTAATAGAGTGTGTTTGGAATTTCTGTTGTTTGACCTTTGCAATAAGCCAAACAAAAAAAAAATAACACATGTTTAAAGGTAAAAAGATCAGTAAACATTCAGAGCCCAAGATCCCAAATATTGTTTCCAACCAACATTATTGTGCCCTTGTAACTCATTCTCAAATGTACCTACATTGCAAAAAGAATCTACACAGAAAAAATACAGAGAATTTTAAATATCAAATGCATATCATATGAATGGTAAACACTTGATCCTATGAGATGGAGCACTAATGAATGATATCATATGAATGCATAATAGCTTGTTCATATCATATGAATGATCATATACAAACTGTGTTATATTGGTCATAAAAATATGGTCAGACATCTTCCTTGAATATCTAACACTTGTTCCTATGAGATGGAGCACTAATGAATGATATCATATGAATGCATAATAGCTTATTCATATCATATGAATGGTAATCACCTATTCCTATGAGATGGAGCACTAATGAATGATATCATATGAATGAATGATAGCTTGTTCATATCATATGAATGATCATATACAAACTGTGTTAGTATTGGTCATGAAATAATGGTCAGACGTCTTCCTTGAATATGTAACACTTGGTTAGTGCAGATCCCAAACTAGTTTGGACTTGGAAATGGGAACCATTTTTACTTAAGGCACATGTTGTAGAAATCAACTTTTTTATGCAAGTTTAAGCCATATGTTGACTTTGTTTCTTATGAAAATTCAGCCATATAAGTCTATATGCCATTCTTAATCATTGATATCAAAACGTTTGGTGATAATCAGACAAGAATGTTCAAAATATCAAGCACAGTCATTTTGATCCCTTGGCAACTATATTCTTAACCACACTTCACTACTGAAATGAAGTAAAGAACAACTTTCATTAGCACCAAGTTAACCACACTTCACTACTGAACTACATTCTTAACCGCACTTCCATAGAGTGAAAGACACATCAAAGCTTACACCACCTATTGTTTTGAGATTGTTTGTATTATGTATGCACACAAATGGCTTCTTCTTCTACTAACAATAGCAACATAAGATTAAAACCAAGATTGTGCAATTGTGGAAGAGCAACTGCCGTATATATTGATAGAACCAATGAGAATCGAAATCAAGGGAGTTTGTTCTTTGTTTGCCCATCAAAATATGTAAGTATGTATTGGAAATATTAAATATGTAAGTAGTGAAAAATTAATTAGTGTTATTCGACTAACTGATTGTCATGCATTGTAGAGTAACACTGCCCATTGCAATTACTTCAAGTTCGTGGATGAAGATGATGAAGATGTTACGTCCACAATCCGTTCCAACACTAGAGCTTTTGATGGTATTATAGTAGAAGACTTTAACGAGCTAAGGATGAGGCTTGATGGCGTGGAAAATGAAAATGATGACTATGGTCGAAGGCTTGAAAGGATAGAAAATAATTTAAAGGCGATGGTGTATTTCATTGTATTTTCTATAATTTTGTACTTTATGATGTAACTTATTGTTTGGTTGGCTTCTGGAAAATTTGACTAATGTTATTATGGATTTTATGAAACTTAACGGATGTATTGTCAGCGTTTGTAGCATTTTGGCTTTGATGAAAATATGCAATGATTTTAGATGGTTTTCATGAATGGAAATTTGATGAAAGTAGTTATGGATTTGATGATTATAGATGCAATGATTTTAGATAGTTTTCATGAATAGAAATTTGATGAATGTAGTTATGGAATTAATGATTATAGAACTTGGAAATTTTAGCATTTTGGTCTTGTTTGCATCAATCTTACCGCGAGTTGGTTTGGGTGTAGAGATAGTACTTGATTGGTGAACAAAGTTTTTGGTGTCGTTCTTGACATAGCCTCTAGAAAATTTTGAAACAACCATACAAACGATTTGGCAATCTCATCATACAACAAGGCTGCACCAAATATAACTATTTCCCTATGATGGTTGAATCCCACAAAAGATGCAAAGGGTCTATGTTCTTTGTTTAACTTGTAAGTCGTATCAAATGTGACAACATCACCAAATTGGGCATAATCCATGATCATTTGTGCATCGGCCCAAAACATATTCATTATATGCTCCTCATTATCTAATTGAAAAGTATAAAAAAAAGAAGGATTCTACAAAGATTTTTCTTTAAAGTATTGCAACACATTGCCTTCTTCCCCATATGCTAAACTTTGTTGTCTTTTGGTTCTCAAATAATTTCTTTGATCTAATTTCGTAAACCCAAGACATTGCCTCCCACTAGCTTCCCTACCCATGAGTTCAAAAGACTGGCCTAAACGAAGACCAGATTGTGCCGCCAAATCTAACTCAATTGCTTGGGTAGTCGATATCTTTCTTTGTGACGACAACATGTGGGCACACTCGGGTGATACAAGATCATGCTTGTGTTTTTCTTTGAAATCAATCACAACAAATTTCCCAGTACCCTCATCTAATTTAATATAAAGTCTAGCCTCACAACCAGTTCCAGTTTCAGCTTTAGGGTTTTTTGCCAATGGGTCTCGCTTGTCAACCTTCCGAAATCCCTCCTTGTTGCAAACCAAAAGTCCACAAATAAGTTAGTTAGTGAACTTGTTCTTCCTACAATAATCTCTTCTTATGCTAAACCTCATTCTTCCTCCATATATATTATAAAAATCATACGCACATTGTTCAGAATCAAATGCCATTCCCTATTTTGGCTTCCAAGCACAATCATTCTCAGGTTCCATATCCATATCAAAATGCAACTGAAAA